CCCTTGCACCAATAAACATCACATATCATGGTATTCATGTCGTTCGCTCTTCATTTTCGACGCCATGTGCATGGGGTTGCTTTCACTGTGCTCGCATGGTGGGGTCCCCAACAACGTTCAGCTTCACTTTTTTTCTTCTTTTATTTTTTTAAATGTGGACAAAGGTGTCATTACCACCGAGGGGATGGCACATTAGGCGCTGATAGAAACTCTTTGAAACCATGGTGATGACAGATCTTCGGAGGTTGACTCCTCACGTGCTTCCGTCTTCCGCTCCGAGCTCGCGGTATCGTAGCCTTTATGGTTAGCTCTGGCAACAACACGAAAGTGCACAAAATGCAATGCAATGAAAGTGATAGCAAAAAATTATAATGTTATACAAGGTAGGGCTCGCAGCCATCACTTTTGGATTCATTGTTGTGGAACTTTTACAAAACACTGGTGTAACCAAATACGGCCGCTCCAGAGAGAAGTGCTATTTTCACACAGTCTCTTCGCGTTGAAAGGGCACTAATGCTTGCCGAGATTTCGCGTGCGCCAGCATCCTTAAACTCAAAGTTCACTGTTGCTACTCGAGTAAACCTCCCCATCCTTGCATTTTTTCATGTTCTTTCGAGACTGGTGGTTTCCTTTCTGTTTAAGCATTCAATGGCAGTTCTAACATGTGGGAGGATGTTATCGTATATGCCCTCCAGGTGATAGAGATAGGCCAGCTCATTTGATTTCTGCTTAAGCAGCTCTTGCGCACTTTTACCTGCCGGTAAAAGTTGTGGGGAGGGAATGTTATCAATTAGGTCTATTTAGGAACATAGCGGCGACGCCAAAAACTTGCCAGAGTGACCATATAATTGCTATCACAATAACGCAGTTTTTCGATGAACAGTGGAGTTTTGTGGCGCAAGGGCCAGGGGTGGCCAAAGAGCGCCATGTCTTTTATGTGATGTTAGCCATGACCAATAATTGCGATGATAGGGTGTGTTACGGCTTTATAGAGACCTAAAATCATGCTCTATAAAAAAAATGTGAAAGGTTGTAAAAACTATGAAGTTATGCCAGTGGTGCACAATTTGATGCAGTTTTTACCACTAAATAAGTATTCTGGTTTAGTTCTGCCTTTAGTTTCCCCCCCCTTTTTTTAATTTGTACATTTATTTTCCAAATTTATATGCCAAACCTGTATGTTGCCACATTCCTTCCTCGAGTTTTGTTACCGCCCCATTACACTGTCAGTAATTCTCAGCGCAAGCCGCACCTACAGTGTTCAAAAAGCTTCAGGACTGTAGTAGATCGTTTTGTTAAGATTACGCTTACTTTGCAAACATTACAGATTATTCTAGTACCTACGTGGCCACTAGTGATAACCTAGTATATTTGACCGTATGTGTGTACATACCGGTGCCCTTCACTGCTTGTCAGTTGTTTGACGGCCGGCGCTTTGTTCACCGCTACCAGTCCCAGTGAATATTGCTGAAATTTGACCTTCAGTTGACAGGCCACAAGTTCGCCTGTCACAAGTTCGGCCACACAAACAGTTTCATCTTCTACCTACAGTCTGCTCCATTTGACCACGTTACAACCCCGTGACAATTTAAAGAAATCCTTTTTATCACAAATTTTTTAGGGATTTGTCAATTTCGTTTTATCCAGGTTTAACTGTAGATCGTTCTGTCAAGACTGCGCGCAAAACGTGAACACTCAAGGTTATTCCTGAGCTTGCTTGACGACCAGTGATAAGGCTGGACTATTCGATGGCACCTGTATAAATGCCGATGCGTTTCATCGTTTGTCAGTTGATCAACGGTCGACGCTTTGTTCTGCGCTATCAGTGCCAGTGCGTATCGCTGTAATCTGACTTCCCGCTCACTGGCCTCAAGTTCGGCTAAATAAACAGTTATATTTTGTTCAAGTTGTCTCTGTATTCGTTGACGTCATGAATCTATTCGTCTGTTGGAGGTGCTTCACAGTTCATATTCTGAATACCCCCCTTCATCCATCAACCGAGCCCCAACCGTCAAAGTTGTGTTTCCGTGTTGAATGACACCGCATCGAACACAAAAGGGGAAACGGCCCTTTCTTTATTCGCTCAGTCATATATATACACGTGTCTGTATCTCGCGCATGCGTAGGGTACTGCCCCGGCAGGGGTGGCATGACAAGAAGGTAACAAGATAGCACAAGCACGATTATGCCACATCTCTCTTTTTAAGACAGATCAACTTTCAACAATAACAAATAAAGATAAATATGGTAACAGGAACCATCTCGCATTACATTCACAAATACCGAATCGAGTTTAAACAGCCAACTCAGTCAAAAGAAACATACTCCACTACATTGAAAAATGTCGTTACGGTCCGGTTTTTTTACAATCCTATCAAATCGGGTGACATATTCGCCTTGACACCGCGCCAACCACAAGTTACTGCAATCTTCTGGGTGCTCACATTGGAGGACTTGAGATTTAGACTACTCGCCACTTTCTGGGTTTTCTAGGCTAGGAGGAAACTCCTTCGATTTGTCGTAGGAGTCTGTCATCTATCATCATGTTAGAGTCAGCGTTTTCTTGAGTCAGTGCATGCGACTGTAGTGCAGCGTGAAATGTAGTTTTGCCGCAATATGGCTTAGCGATGAGCTGAAGCATTTGAAAAATTTGAAGGGGCTGCTTTAGTCAGACTTTGACTGCATTTGTCTTTGGGAAATCCGAATAGTAAGAATTCCAGTGCAAATCCAATTGAATAGCAAGCACTATTAGAAAAATTTTCAAAATTTCGAACATTCGCACAGCCCTACTATCTATAATTCATCATATCAGTAACACTATCGGTGCGTTTGCATTTGTTGCAGATGAATCACACCGCAGATCTTTGAGTTCTCTCAAGTTTAACAACATTCTTTTATCTGTAACAGTCCCATAAACGTGAGGCATACTGCAGGCGTGACCAGACGAGGGCTTTATACACGGCTAATTTGACGTTTGTTGGGGCTTTTACAAGCTTTTGTTGAATAAACTCGAGAAATTTAAAAGCTTTGGTGCACATTGTATTGATGTGGAAATTCTGTGTCGTTGTAACTCCAAATATTTAACAGCTGGTGTTTTCTATAGTATAATGCCATCTACAGAATGAGAATGGTGCAAAACAGTTTTGTTTCTGCGTATATTGAGGACTAAGCATTTATCATCGTTTAAGAACTTCCGTGAGGGCTTTCTAGTGTGAGGTCTGACCAGCTTGGGATTTCAACTGCGTGTAAAGGATGCTGGTGTCTGCAAAAATCTTCACCTTGACTTCAGTGGGTATTATATTTACAATATTATTTATATATGTGGGGAATAAAATGGGGTCCAGAACTGAGGCTTACGGTGCCCTTGAAGTTACCTCAAGGGCCCTGAGCAGTACTTATCAACCTGGACTTTTCTACCTGGACTTACCTATTTTTTAGATATGCCTGAATGAAGTCAGTTAGCTATTCATTTGAATAGCATAGAGTTTATGTAAAAGCTTATTAAGAGGCACTTTGTCAAAAGTCTTTGTGTAGCCCATTAATGTGGCATGTATCTGATTTTCATTATTAATTGCAAGTGAAAAGTCATGACACACTCAAAGCAACTGTGTCACTGTTGACACACCCTGCGAAAACTCGTGCTGGGAGTCTGATACCATATCATTTTCTTGAGAAAAATGTGCTCATGTGTCAGCGTATTACATTTTTCAGTATTTCGCAGCTTGTTGAGGTCAAAGATATTGGGTGGTAATTATATACACGCAAGCGATGACCTGATTCATGTATGGGAAAGATACGAGCACCGCTACAGTATGATGCAAAAAAGTCGTCATAAGTAATGAACAAGTAACGTGAAATCCACTCTGTGTATCGTCGCAAGAAAACTGTAAGGATGTTATCGGGGCCACTAGCTTTTTTAGCATGAGGGTTAAGGAGCAAAATAAGAATAACTTCTTGGAGCACAATAAGAGCCTGCACAGAAGAAATAAACACTTGAAGCTCAGTAACAACATTAGTATCTTTCAAAGTATATATCGATTGGAAGTATCAGTTCAGCTACTGCTATGGCCTCTGAGATTGGCTACTGTGCAGGCCTAAGAGATTGGTGTGCCATCAATCATTATAGAAATACTACTGGATTTGCTGTTGCCTTATTACCTTCAAAATTTTATTGGCGCTTTCTCGGGGAAGTTGACAAAAGTGGTAGCAAGAAAGGTGTCCTAACTTTTAACCTCAGTTTTCAGTGCTGTGCTTAATGTGCTAATCAAAAAGCCTCGTAGCTGGCCTGAGCATCTATTTTTATAAGCTTTTGTTTTATGCGAATTGTTGGTCTCGTAGCCCACAGGTTCTCTTTTCAGGAACAAACATGACAACGGCATGCAAACACATTTGTTTGAATTTGTACCACAATGCATTTACAGTTTCATCAACATTAAAACTATGAAAACTTATTTTTAAATACTCTTATTGTTGCATAAAACTAATCGTTGAACGTCTTCGGTAGTGAAAACTGTTCATTAAGGTAAACAGAAACGATATGAAACACAAGATCTTCCAAAACTGCTTCGTTACGTAACACAAAGAGGCTTGGCAGCGTTCAAGAGAAAAACCCAGCCGTTGTTATGGTCCTCTGATTGCAACTGCCCGGGCTCTCGCGCTCCTGTTTGTGCCCTAAAGGGGAGCCCGCTCTCTCTCCCTCTCCCCCTAGTCACCACCCTTGGTGCCTCAAATCTGGCAGCGTAACACAATTGTCGGCTACAGAGCACTGTTCCCGTGTTGCCACAGTCGTCGCCTCTTCTGACCTTGAGATAACAGTGGTGACCCCTGAGGGGTGAAAGGAGAGAGGAAGAGGCAAGGGAATGCAAAGTTACGATATTTATCATTGGCCCTCTTGAATTTTGTGCATCTTCTTTTGCCGAACAGCACGAAATTGCTGTGATGGTGCAGAGATTGTATGCATTTTGCCTGCTGTCGATTTCCTTGACATACGTGCCCTGCAGAAGTTCACAGCTGACCTGTTTGTGGATAACAGCTTTGTTCTGGCTGAGGGCTGCTACGAAGACATGGCCTTCCGTGTCGATGCCATGGGCCTTCCTCCCATCGAGCCAGCTTTGGAGGCAATGTGAGTTTGTGCTTTGAGTGAATCATTGCAGCAAGTATTATAAGTGTGCGTGTGCCTGTGGCAGTGCAGAGAGCCAAAGCTGTCATTGTCATTAGCGAGTGTTTTCACTACAGAATGAGGTGTCTCGATGGTCTTCACATAGACTTAATCTCCACCAGACATCGAAACCATGATTGCAGTCGCAAGCGGCACCACCACAAGCCTTAATTCCGATTTGACTTGTGCATCACCTCTCTACACACTAGGCCTATTCTAGCTTATTCTATTCCCCTCGAGTGAACACGGACGCACAGAGAATGAAGAGCCCGTCCACAACACCGCTGCGTTGGACGACAGACGTTAGAATTGGTCGAGCTCCCATTCCCGCTCCTGCACACTCTCCTTATCGAGAAGCCACAAGAAGACGAACAGAGCTCAGCCGAGGGCCAGTTCCGGAGCACATCAACCCCCAGGTCTGGAACAACATTGACGTACAAAGAGGGAGGAAAAACTGGCAAGGACACCCTGGACCGTTCGAGATGAGCTGAACAGATGCGGTATGCGGCAAACGCGCTAAGGTCGAGGCTGCTTCCTCCAATGCTACTGCAGAGACTAAAAAAGAGCTGGCACAGATTAAGCAGATGCTTATGCAGCTTACTAAGGAAAATGCTACACTTCGAGATGAGATTAGCATTTTTGAGGAAGAAAATGCTAGATTGAGAAACGCAGGCAAGGACAGTAAAGACGTAGCACAAACAGCCGAGATTCCGGAGGAAACAATTGATAGTGGAGAAGAAGTGACTGTGCCCACAAAACGAATGGCTATAGATGTAGATTCAGGTTGCAGTGAAAGAAGAACGTACTGGCGACAGAGTCCGACAAAACTGGTGCAGGAAGAGGTAGAACACTGAATGGAGCAAGATAAGAAAGCACTTGAAAAGAAAATGGAGGACATGTTCATTCAGATTACTAAATTGATGCAGCAGAGTTCCACAATGCAACAGCAGATAAAGCGACAGTTAAGCACCATGCAAACGCGTGTAGGTGAGCTTGAAGCTAAATTATCGGTGGCAGGCAGCCTACCTAGGAGAGGTTCGTAAGCAAGCAGTTGCGAGCCTATTAAAACGACTACAATAGCTTACAGCAGGCCTGCTGTAACAGAGGCGAGCGAGATGACTGGAAAGCCATAATACCAACATGGCTGCTCACAACACGTATTCAATCTGGCAATGGAATTGCAGTGGTTACACTAGGAAACGATGTCATTTACAGCAATACCTGATCGAAGAAAATCCGAATGTTATATTATTACAAGAAACTAACAGGAAGGCGAAATTGTCGGGGTACAAGCGTTACAGTGGCGCCACGGCAGAAAGATTGGCCATTACCGCACTGGTCAGAGGAAATCTTAGTCGTCCAGCACGATACAGAAATTAACAAAATCGAACACACTTTAAAAGAAATCATACCGAATCGGAAGGTAGGTAGCAGCCTGTTTGTCCTGAATGTTTACAGCAGTCTGTAAAGATTTGGCACGCTGATTTGAAAATCGATCGCAATCGTGAACAAACAGGTGGTCCTAATTGCCGGGGACTTTAGTGCCCAACACACCACATGGAGCTACAAATTCAAAAATGTCAAGGGTAGGAACCTGTGGCTTGACGCGCAGCAAGAGGGGCTGACCCTGCTTACCGACCTCTCCTTGCCAACGCGAAGAGGTAACAGCAATAGCGTAGACACCACACCGGACTTAACCTTTACGAAAAACATTGTCAATTCACAGTGGATCAACACGCAGCAAGACCTGGGCAGTGATTATTTCATAATAGAGATTAAAGTCGGAGCAGGACCGGGCAAGACTAGAGGCAAACAGCTTAAATTGGTTGAGTGGGACAAATTCAGACGAATCACAGAGTCGAGAAAATCGGAGGAATCAATTACCGATATTGATGCATGGACCGACTCGCTGGAGCGGGACATTGCCGGGGCGATGCAATTAGTCTTGCCAGAGGCGAAACTTGAAATTTTAGACAGCAGACTCTTACACATGTGCGAGGCCAAACGCAGCCTGCAGGCAAGATATAAAAGGCTGAGGCACGACAGACCACTTAGGAAAGCGATCGCAAAGCTCAATAGGGACATTGAGAGTCACGCGGAGCAGCCGTGCAAGCAACAGTGGGAGAATACTTGCAGTAGCATGGAGAACCAACTAGTATTCGCAAAGACGTGGAACTTACTTAGGTACCTGCTAGATCTGAATGAGACGAAAACCACTCACAGACAGAACAACAGAATCATACATGTGTATAAAGGCTCCGAGCGGGACATATTACGGGAGATTACGGAACGGTACATCAGTTCTATCCGGTCGCAAGTGCATGCTGGCTACGGAGATGCAGTCAGCGAAGTCCTAGACAGACCGATCAGCGAGTCAGAGATCAGGGCAGTATTACAAAAACTTAACAGCCCATCGGCGTCTGGGCCCGATGGAATTACAAAGACAACGCTCAGGAATCTAGACGATAAATCGATAAAAAAAAAAAAAAAAAACTCGCAGTTTTTATTAATGCGTGCTGGGAAAAAGGAAAGATGCCCCAGCAATGGAAGACTGCTCACATTGTGCTGATACCGAAGCCTGGTAGGCGACTGCATTTAGATAACCTCAGACCGATCTCGCTGACTTCATGTTTGGGAAAGGTAATGGAGTACGTGGTTGTTACCAGGCTGACCAACTACCTCGAGGACCGCGACCTGCTTCCCCACACGATGTTGAGGTTCAGGCGAAATCTCTCCTCGTAGGACGCGATGCTACAGATAAAACACCAATGAAAAGATAGCCCTAAAAGGTCCACCAAGGCCATATTTGGCCTGGACCTGAAAAAGCCCTTTGATAACGTAACGCACGCAACCGTACTGGCCAAAATGCAAGAACTAGATCACGGGGAACAAACGCACAACTTTGTTGGAGATTTTATCACGAATAGAAAAGCCAAGTTTGCTTTCGGGCAGCTTAGTTCTGAGGAAATAGAATTGGGTAGCGCCGGTACACCGCAGGGATCAGTGATATCACCCATGCTTTTCAACATAGCTCTTGTGGGGTTGGAAGCCAAGCTACAAGTAATCGAAGGGCTCCCTTTATCACAGGCCTTACGCCGTTGACATTACATTGTGGGTTGCGGAGGGCTGCGATGGGCACATAAAACAGACGTTGCAACGTGCGATCGAGACTGTTGAGCGATACTTACAGAACACCGGCTTGAGCTGCTCTGCGGAGAAATCAGAACATTTAGTATACAAACCCACTCAAAGGGGCTGCAAGCGGAACGGTGAGGTAAATGATGATCCCTCTAGAGACATACGTCTAACGACATTCGACGGGCGATCCCGGCCTAGGGTAGATAATATACATGTTCTCGGCTAACACATCGCGGCGAATGGCCATAATGGGAGACAATCAGGAAACTAGAAGGCGCAGTTGCTCAGACCATCCGACTACTGAAACACATAGGAAACCGACACAGCGAGATGAAAGAGGGCAGTATGATAAGGCTAGTTCAAGCCTTCGTAATGAGCTGAATAACGTATGTAGCATCCTACCTCAAGTGGCATGTAGCGGAAAAGACAAAGTTGGAGGGATTAATCACGAAGGCGTACAAACAGGCGATAGGGCTACCGTTGAACGGGAGCGCGAGTAAATTACTCGATCTGGGTCTCCACAACAGCCTGGAGAAATTTATAGAAGCACAGACCATAGCAGAGTACGAGCGCCTTGCCAAAAACACAACGGGCAGACACATAGTGGAAAGTTTAGCAATTACTAGATATCACGCTCAGCACGGGGCCAAACTCGACGTACCAAGCAACGTAAGGGATAGGCTGGTCATTTTTCCTTTGCCGAAGAACATGCACCTGGAATACCACAGGGGTAGACGGGAAAATTGAGCACGGGACATACTGAAAAAAGTATGGAAAATGTAAACAGGCAGTGTTCGTGGACGAGGCCAGGTATGCGCACAGGCCCAGCTTCGCGGCCGATGTAAGACTACCAGAATGTTTGCAAGACTAGCGTCACGGTACGCACCGAGCACGTGGAGACAGTAGAGGATGTGCCTATTGCGCTCGCAGTGGCCACCACCATGGCCGAAATGGTTATCAGCGACTCTAAGACGGCAGTACGCAACTTCGGCAACGGCCGCATCTACCCAAGGCGTTACAAAGTTTACTTGTGGGGAAAATTGAAAATGGGGATGTTTACGTATTGTGGGCACCCGCCCACACTTCCTCGCTCCCCGGCAACGATATGGCGTACGGGGCTGCTCGAGGTCTTATGGACCGATGTTACGTATTCGGCGGCTGGACGACAGCCGGCCCAGGAAAGAGACGACTCAAGCAGTGCCAGGAAGACAATCCCAGTTTATTCACCTTGCGGCGCGTTTTTAAGCGCTACGCAGCCAATCGCAGGTTGGCACGAAAGAAAAGAAAACAGCAAGATAACAGCAATCGGGCAATGTTATCAGAAAGCCCCGACGTAGAAAGAGGGCGAGCACTGCAAACGTTACAACTCGGCCAAAGCTACCCCTAGCGGAAGGCGTTCAAGAGGATGACGCTTCATGAACGGCTGGAGGTGGTAACAGGTAGCCAACACGTGGGCAGGTCTCCAAGCACAGCACTGACACGTTTCGCACGGTCATATTGTCTTTGTGCACGGCGTGGGCGAAGACCCTGAGGTGCATGGTGGCACTGGTCGTTGAAGTAGCCACCGCAGAAGGAAATGGAAATGGCATTGCGCGTCGTCTGGCTGGAACACGCCCGCGAAGGTTGGCATTAAAGGCCAAGAGGAGGCAATGTCGAGAACAGGCAATGTTCAGAACGGGCACCACTCGCCGAGTGTTGATTGGCTGCAGCACGGGAGTTGGCTGCAGGCGCCTGGAGCAGGGTTGATTTCGCCATCTGGTACGACAGGATCTGAAATGGCTGAGTGGACGAGCGGTAGAAACGCAGAAACTACGTCAAAAGCAACC